TGTCATAGAAGTGTGAAAATATTCCCTGAATATACATTTGGTTTTACAAAACTGCCGTTATGATCAAAACAATTATATTCTATATCCACAAAATGGCATACGCTTTGAAGGTGTAGCTCTTTCTAACACACAAGAACATTTAACCACTTTTACCAAAGCTCTCTTTCCCCCATCCTCACTTTCTTCTGCTTGCTCATTAAATGGATATGCTTGGACTTTTTGGAACCAAATAACTATGGGCTCAATAGTTAGAAATATTCCATGAAAGGATATACCACATCATCTTTGCAATTTCTGTCCCTGAAATACTTAAATGCCTTGTGAACAGCATTTCTGACCTTCCCTCTTTAGAAATGGAATCGTGGAAAGATGATGGTTTTCAGTCCCAATATACAGTATGAAACATAAAAAATCCTACGACCAGGTAGCTATTTCTCTAAAAAAACTGCAGCATCAAAAACAACCTCAGTGACACTAATGCTTCTGGAATAATGCTGCAGTTTTGTGAATAAGGAGACTGCAGCATCTTTATCTTCCATGAAGACTTCTATTTGATGCCAGGAGAGGAAACTGAACTAGGGACATCTGCATGAGGCAGAGCAGTTGTACTGACTTTACTTGGGCTCAATTTCTCTCCATTTTAAAAGGTTTTCCTTTTACTGTAGAAGTAAAAGGAAAACAGTAATATCTTTGAATATTTAACAATACCAATATTTGAATGGAATAATGACATAAAGCTTACTACACTTTATTGTGATCTCCTGATGACATTGCCTTAAAAAATACATTGGTTTCCATTTCTGAAGTTAAGACGTACAGAGCAAGCATACTCCTGTATTTAAACATGTGTTTAAACCATGTGTTTAAAGTCACTGATAGCTTACCTATCCTTTTTCCATCCAAATGAACACATGATGCTACCACTTTGCTACTCCTGCTGATTCTTACTGCTTTGAATGTTCACCTAAGTAGCAATGTTTGACTAAACCCAGAACCCGGCTTTGAAAAACTAAGTGTGAGAAAGTGATGAAAACATTTTGAATATGTTACTAGCCACAATGGAGTACTTTTTTCTCTCTTGATTAAAAAAATAATTCAGAACAAAAAGCTTTTATGGCTTTATTAGTGTCTGTAAACTAGTGTTTGCCATAGTGATCTTGAAAATTAAATTGGTTTCTGACCTGATATTAATTGTGCAACAGTTCTAAAAAGATAGCAATGAATTTCACAATATCTCTTTGCATAGTGTGAAAACTAAGAACCTTGCACTTTATCACAATGTTAACACATTAAAATATATCTCCATCACGGACTTTAAAACTACAGGTGAATGGAAACATTTTTTGGAGGATAAATGTTACTATTAATAACAGGACTCAAGAATAGATAATACAGATATTCCTGGATGGTATAATTGACAGCTAACTTCATCAGTCACTGAAACAATAAAGCATCATGCAGACCAGCCAGCTTATTTTTGATTCTTATAGGGAAAAAGATGGACCAACAAGGATATACAATGATTACAGCAGATCACAAATGAAACGTGACTGAACAATGTTGATACAAATGCTGTAAACACCTTAAATAAACAGAAGAATGGTCTGCAAACATATTAATCCTTCTGATGCATTACACCCTGATAAATCAGAACTATTGAAGGTCTATAAAAAAACCCCCAAACATGCAGAGAAGTAGAGAACTCTCCCCCTGTTCATAAAAAAAATTTAGGTTTGTAGTTGAAAGACTTAGATGATACCATATAGGTTTTAAATATGTAAAACTCTAAGAGAAAGAAAATATTCTGTCACCCATTGTGCAAGGAATAAGCTTCGGAAAGCAAAATTAATCTTAGCTATAAAGAGCTCTCTATAGAAAGTACAGTGAAGCACCAGAAGAAACTGGCTATAAAACCTGAGAAGTTTTAGAATGTGCATCACCAGAGGTTTTTTAAATTTAGCCTGTCTTTAAGAAGTAGGCTATGGTATTGATCCTCTTGCAGGGAAAGGCAGTAAGCTGAATGTCTTTTTGAACTCCCACTGATTTCACAATTATTATTTTAGATTCCATTTCAAGAAATAGTATGGTCCTTCAATATAAATAGCTGAAAAAACAAAAGCTGCTCTGTAATTAAGGTTTTGTATTTTGAGGAGGTAAGTACAGAAAACTCAGTGAACTAGTAGCAAAATTTTAAGGTTCTGAGAGATTATATGAATGCTTTCAAACTACGGTGGAAAACACATTTATACCTTGAATCTCCAGCCATGGAAAAATCTTTTTACAGAAGAGTACACCAACATGAGTAACAACCCAGAGCTGCTAGTAAGAATAAACAGCATCTACAAGAAAGTACAACAACTGGTCTTTAAAAACTCAGGAAGAATGGCAATAAAAGGGAGAATTGTCTAAAGTCCATGCACCTTAAGCTTTGAAAAACAATGTCCCAAAACAAAGCAAAAAAACATTCCCAAACCAAAAATCAAAATGACAGTAAATAAGTGATTTAGTCACATAAAAGGTAAAGAGGAGACGGAAAACAACAGAGATGTACAAAACCCAAGTTAAAACTTTGCCAGCATTTTTGATAAAAGCAATGGTGTTGATCACAGGTCAAGGACAGAATGGTTTTCAAATGGCAAAATTCACAAATTGTGGATGTTGCCATAAAAACAAGGATTTTTGGCCTCCAAGGGAAAATAAACCTGAGCTTCAAATTATGAAGGGGAGTTCACTAAATTTTCACTTCACAACTATAACAAAATTGTAACATGGAAATTATTTCAACCCTGCAGGATTTTAAATTAAGTATATCAAATCAGTAATATATTTTACTAGAAAACAGAACACTAGTATCTATAAAATAAAAAGGTGACCCTAATAGACATAGGCAATTATCTTCAAGTTCTGAATTTATTTTAGAAAGTTTACTTCCTCAAAAAAAAAAAAAAAAAAAAAAAGTGAAAAATCGGACAAAATTGTGCACAGGTTTGCCAGACTCAGTCTCTTTGAAAAGGACCAATTTTCGAAGGAAAACAAACAGATCTAATTTATCTGGCCTTAATGCCTGCTGCAGCACCAAGACCAAAACACTGGCTGGCTGAAGAAGATAACACAATAATTTTCAAATTTCTAAGAAAAAGATAAAAAGGTAAATTGTCCAAGAAAACAGAGGGTCCTAGCAGAGTTCTTACAATTCCTTGAGAATTACTCTAGAATTTTATTGAATTTTCTCCAATTAGGTTAGGCCCCAAGAAACATTTTCTGATTAAGGGAGAGGGTAGGAAATGTGTGAATGCAGAAGCTACCACACTATTTTTCAGAGATAATTCATTAACTTTAAAGTCTAAAATTACAAATGAGATTAAGTAGTCCAAAACAAATGAAACCGAGAAAACGAAAGCAAAACAAAATGCCATGAACCTGAGATATGAACTCATGGGATAAAAATGACAGAAGGGAGTTGAGTTTCTCATACTCAAATATTAGTGCAACCCAGAAAAGACTGCACACAAAGGTGCTAAGAGGAAGGATCATGCAGCAGAGACCAATTCTTCCTGAAGGAGGCTAAGAGTGTCTCTGTCTTAGTTTCAAACAAAATAGAGATATGTCATCACTGTGTCCAAAAACATAGTGGAAAACATCAGGAAAGGGAAATAAACATACAGTGAATGGACATAAATGAGACACAAACAAGTTAGAATGGGACTATTATAGTGAATTTTCAGCCACCATAGAACCACGGTCTAAAACACATAATGAACAGCCGTAAAAGGAGAAGAATCACACATTTCAAAATGAAGTGCAGCCCTTAAAGGTGTGGTGATTTGCAGCAGCAGGGGATTGGATGCAACCAACCCATGAAGCCTCTTCTACTCTTGCGTCCTTATAACAGGCAAGAGATCTACACGCAAAATAATATGGCTTCAGCTAGCAGTAGCATCCACCATGTACACTCCTTCAGGACATACATCAAGTTGTCTCAGACTGAGACAGCTACACAGCATGACCTTTGGATGTACCAAGTCATTCTGAAGTGCAAACATCAGACTGAGTTCACTGTCTCACAGGGATTAGGAAATGAAATGACAACCTCTAAAAGCAGAAACAGGCCAACACTAGAATGCTTATTTGAGCATTTTTTAGCCAAGAGGTTACACTATTTTGATTTTCATATAAGGCTTATCAAAATCTCCCAGCAACCTAGCTGGTGACACAGGGCAGGAGTTGGGAAGCTTGTCACAGCAGAGCAGCTATATACAGGTCTTCACCAGTGGCAGCTTTTCTTCAGAGAACTGCACGGTGGAAGTGCTCTCAGTGGACCATGCACTTCAACAGTAGGACACACACACAGCTTCATTCAGCATTCCACGTCAGCCAAGCACTAACCCACCTTCAGAAACATTCTGTCAGCTTGCAAATCACTTAGCTGTGCAAACCCCATGGATCCATTACAGCTTAGAAATAGTTTAGTTCAGAAATGTTATGGTAATTGGGAAAAGAAAAAAAAATCCTCCTGATGTTAGCTCAATTTGTATATTTTGAAAGCTTTGGAGACAATTAGCATTACTGCTTTTCTTGGGCCATCATCTCCTCCCTGATAAAAAGTGTCTCTTCATTTTTAATACTTGAACATACATTTTAATTGGCTTTCCTTTTAGATATTTTATACATACATTTTAATTCATCTATTTACTGAAACTGACATGTCCTGCAAACTTCAAGCAAAGAGATTTCTCTAATGGCATCACAAGCAAGAAAAGGGCTTTTTCCAAAGTGCAGTCACTTCAAAAGAAGAAAGGAGGTATATAATACATTCTTGAAGCCGTTACTCCAACACAACACGTTCTTCTTTACAGGGGATTCCTAAATTGATACTTTCTTCTGTTCTCTGTTCTAGACTACAGCCTCCTAGCTCTGATTTGAAGAGTACAAATGCCTAGGCCTAGTTTCTACCACGCACGTTGTTATTAAATGATAATTAATTAAAGATATAAACTTACCTTTTTCATCCTCAGTAATCACTTTATCCATTGCATAGTCCACATCAAAAATGTATCGGTAAAAGCAGAGCTGAGTGTACAGGGCCTTATCAGAATACTGTAACGTAAGAAGACAGCAAACAAAAACCCAACTCAATAGTGTGTCTTTTGTAGCCATTTCTAAGTTCATGGTCAAAAGGTGTTTCTTTACATTTTTTTCTAACAGTTTATATGTTTTATTCACATCAGATATTGGAACTATTATTATTACACAGCAAGATCTCTTTACTACATCTCTACACATTTTTTCTCACAATTTATACCAAGCATTTATATGAATCAGACGAAACTTATCAATTCTTATAAAACCATAAATCCCATTTATGCATTTTTATAGATATGTGTACCACAGTTTATAAGATTGTGATCTAGCAACAAATTGAAAGTCATAAGAATCATGGGACAAAGGAATAACTTTAGTATACTGTACTATGCAATGATTTATTTTTTTTTCAAAGTATATTTTTTATGAATACAAGTGTTTGGCTGTGTTCTCTCTATTCCCACCCACCCCCACATACACACACAGCTGTGGTTACATAAATCATGAACATGCCACTCAAATAAGAACAGGTGCATATACACCTTTACAACCACGTCTTCACCTTGCTCTACATGTTTGTGAAGGCTATTGCATGTTAGTAATCACACACGTAGTTCAAAAATCTGCTATTTTGAACTACCTTAGTTCAAAAAAAGGTGTGTACATGTGGAATATGATTTCAATTAAACCCTCTGAATGTCAGCAATGTCAAGTCTCCGTGCTATTCTTCTAGCTCCCTGGTACATGCCTGTATGTGTTTGGATCACTGTTGCCACTCTGTGTACTAGAAAATTGCTCAAATAGACATGAGATCCATCTTGCCCATGCTACAACTAAACCCTTTCAAATTAATCTTCTTGAACTCTTGCTCAATAAAACTACATTCCAGTCCCTGCTGTTTAAGATATCGGAGTTCAAATACTGGCCAACAACGGTTTGAAAATTTGTGCATTACAAAACTCCTAATTAAGAATGAGAAAATTTATAAGCATCAAATGTGGAAGTAGTATTCACTTTAATACACTGAGAGTACACATGTAGATATGTACAAACTCTTGAAGATTTTCTTGAGGAGCTATAAAACCAATGAAGAACGTAGTGAGACCAACATAAAACTGTGACTCAGTATACCAAAAGAAATGACCCTGAAAATGCAGTGGAAGAGGAACTGGTAAACTATTTCGGCTTACTAGCATTCTGCTTTAACTTAGCTTTTCCCTCTCCTACCCAATCATTCCAAGTTTTGTTATTTAATTCAGTTAATTCTACACTTCTACTGACGTGTTATAAAGTATCTATAACTATTACTCATGTTGAGACATTTGACAACTATTACAACTGCTTAGTTATTTTTCATATATTTTAACAGCATACTTTTTTCCACTTCATGTGAACCTATTTTACAAAAAAGGCACACAGAAGCTTATTTTATTCCTTGTTAGCTATTCTACGATATGCATCATCATTATACTATTATACACCAGTTATTTTTAGTAAATCCTGATTACTGCTTCCTGAAGAAGAAAAAAGGAGGACGACGGCGATTAAGTTATTTGTTTAGTTTTTTAGATTCAGCTGTAATTGCTGGTACACATCTCCCTGACTGCACACATGAAGCAGGTTGAATAGAACACTGAAATTACCTCCTTCATAATAGTTTGTTTTGATAATGTATTGTGTGTCGAGATGATGAGAAACAGTTGCTGTCAATTTGATTAGCCATTATATTTTTATGTTAATTGCCATTATTGGGTCCATTCTGTTTAGTGTCACCATAGAAGCCATACAATGTTAGCATAAATAACAAATTGGAGTAAATTAGGAAGATATATTTTTGCCAATTCATTTTAATTGCCCCTCAGTCCTTCCGTCGGTTAACGCAGCTGTTGACCCATAATAAGCGCTAGGTCAATATAGCTGCTTGTCAATTCAGAAATGCAAAGTGCTGTGTTGCTGGTAATGGATATACAACAACCTTTGCCAGCCAACTGAAGCAAACGAATGACAACCCACATGAAAGAGTAAAGCATCAGCTATAGAGTTTAGTGACCTGATATTAGTAGCCAGGCTAATTGAAAGTCACTGCTTAAATGGATAAAGAAAATACAAAAATCAGTATGTAAAAATGTATACGTGCACATACAGACAGATAGATATATGTATATAAACACAATTTTTTTTATAAACTGATAATGCACTAGTATCTCCTTCCCCTTATCTTCCTACCATATCTTGCAATTAGTAATTGGTGGAAAACAAAAGAGTTTGAAGATATTAATACGATTAAGAACAAATATTATGGCACACTTATGAATCCAAGGAAGAGGTACCCTAAATTTAAAAGGCCTTCAGAAATTACTTATATCATCACTTTTTATATTTCCCTCATTTCTGATAACCTGTATGTTTAAAAATAAATAAAAGAAAAAAGCCCAATCCCTAAAACTTCAAACCCCAGTAATATTTTACTGATAATGATGACTTTTTTGAGTAAAGAAAACCTGCCACCCTTAACATTATGGTAGGAACCTGGGCGAAATTTATATAAGCATTTATGCATTCTTTCTTCCCATGAAAAACTGAAGGCTGAATACTTGAAAATAAAACTATTTTGAAGTTCTTTTTTGTTCCATGATATTAAATTTCTTGATTTCATTAAGAACTTTCTTCAGCAGGTAAATCTGCTTCTTAGACAGCTTCCATTCATGGAAAGAACACTTTGTTCTTTCATCTTTCCATGCAACCCAACTTTTTTTTTTTTTTTTTGAAAAGCAATATGAAACATCAATAAACAGATGAAGGAACCAACGGTATACAGTTTGCATTCAGCACGGTTATTCACTCCTTTGAGAGAAAAATTAAGCTGTTAATATAAAAATAATAGATGTAACAATAACAATCCATGGGACTTGGCCAAAAATCACATTAATTTCAGGATATCTAGGTTTAGTATGGTTGTAGAACTGTTCCCTATAGTATCAAGGGGCCAACTGGAAATCTCCGATCTGCCTTTCCAGGAAGATTTTAAGATCACATGGATTATGTCATAGGCAACTGATGGTGTGTTCTTAGCAGAACCAGTGAACTACAAACACTGGAAAAGCAAATTTTCCCATGACTAAGCACAAACACTAGAGTACAAAATGCTCAGCCATGAAGAGAAAATAACCTCACACGTGCTGGGGAACTCTCCCTAGAATGTGCATGAGGAAAGGAGACTTCACAGACACAATGCATTCGTATTTCTGGATTGCCTGCTGTGCCTCCACACGTGCCCAAGTCCACCCTGCTGGACTGCAATGACTAGCTTATTTGTCTTGTCCCTACAGTTGTTCATGTTTCAAAAACACACTGGACTGAAGGGGTAGCATCACCTCTTCTTCTCTTCCACAGACACCTAAAAATTCAAGTCTGGAGCAAGGAAACCCTTGTGCACTCATTCCACCTCTCTGGCCCAGCAACCCATAATGAGTTTTTTCCACCAAAGCAAAATTTCAAGTGGAGAATGGTCCCAACTCACTCACTCTGTAACAGAGTAGTCACTGGTTTGCAACCCTTCAGACAGAGAATCGAATTTGGTTTTCTTAATCTTCCATAAAGAATGAAGAAAAATTGCCAGTGTCCACTTTTCTTCCTCTTTTTTTTTTAGAAATGCTGAAGCTTAGCTCCCTGAAAGTAAGGGGACATGGAAAGATTTAACCACTGCTGAGCATCTTCCTGCCCTAAACACATTGCCTGAGCACTCAAGACGCCCTATCTCCCACCAGCTTTTCTTTCATGGAAGAAAGGTTGGTGGCAGCTGCATGTAGGTGTTGAAATTAGGTGGTCTCTCCCTTAATGCTAACGCTTTTAGATTACATCCCAAGGAACTTCAGTTTATATACCTCATTATTCTCTGTCCTGTTAGATGTGGCTAAAATATCAACCTTTAAAATCCATTCAGTACCTAACAGCTGCGTGGTGACCTAGAGAATCCAGGTAACAAAGGTCTGAGGAAAGGAAAAAGGGAAAAATAAACACAAGGAAGAAGTTGATTGAAACTCATCACAGTAAGGTAGTGGAAGACTGAACTAATGATTCTAGTTCTGATGTTTTACTAAACTAGATCCAGTCCTAGTCTATTAAACACCCTTTAAGCAGCATGTAAAATCTCTGTAACTGGAAAGTGTACATTTGAACAGGCCAGAAAAGTAAATGTCTCTACTTAGATTAATTTTCTTTGAACTGTTGTGAAATCCTATATTAATCGAAGTGGGATGTGATGGTCAATGCTTTTTCAATGCTTTCAAGATTACTCATATACTCATCTACAGTAGGTTGAAGTCTTTCACTCTTTGGCATCTCCCTAATTGCTATACTCCTTTATGAGTTCCACAACACTCATGACCCTTTACACCTTTCCTGCATTCTCATTTTTGTCTACCCTTTTGCTTTCTTCTGCACCTGACTCTCCCATTTCTTCAAGCCCTCTGTGGTGGTGTTATTTTGTATTCTGTGTCATTTACTGTTTTCTGTTGTGTCACCTATGAAATTACAGATAATGAAACCAACAAGAAATAGAAAAACCCACAAAAACCTCTTCTAGTTGCTAACTGTACTAGACTGCTTTGCAAAGGAGAGAATTTCCACAGGCTACAGAAGTTATTTGTATTACTTCAATTAATTATAATACAAAACAGTGGCACCACTTCATTAATCAGCTGCTTGAGAGTTACTTTTGCAAAAAGCCTTTTCGGTAATTTGATTAGAAAGAACAGTGGCTCTTACTACTGTGATATGATTCAGCATGTCCATCAAATAAATCCTTTAGAACTAGTTCTTAATACTTTAAGAACAGGAAAGAAAGAAAAAGAAATAGAAAAGCAGTCTCTTGGCAGAAAAACTCAGAGACTCTTCCAAGGCTCAGATGTAACGAAGCAAAGCATACAGGAAATACTTCAGTGCTTTGAGAGGCATTTCCTCCTCCCTCCTCCCCTTAGAAAGATGCAGTAATTAAAACCTAATTATTATCTTCA